CCACAGTGTAACAGAATGACAGTGACAGAACAAAAAACACAGATAATAAAAAATAGAACAAGTAAATAAGGAATTGTGTATTTAATGCACTGGTGGTTGTGTGTATAATCCATCTGCTAGCTTTCTTTGCAGTGTTTTCCGGGACCTGTGTGTTCTGTCCTTTTCTAGGGTAGGTCCTCGGTGAGCACCCCCTCTGTTGGATTAAGAAACCGGGTGCTCGACTTGCAGTGTTTACTTCACTCGTCAATATGATGTCCAGCCGGAATGATAGCCTGGTTTCGGCTTCATTCGGCTCCGTGGGCTGTTCTCGTGGTAGTGTTTAGCAGTGCTCCCCTTTTTATCAAAGGGTTACCTATGAGCACACTACTCCTTTCTGAATTCAGAGTTCTCCTCTCATGTGAGCAGGACCCATTTTGAGATATTTGGTAGAAGTTTCCACGCTACCAGAAAATCTACTAAGGGAACCAGCCTCTCGAGGCTGGCCTCCGGTGTTATTCGAGGAGCCAGTTCGGTGCCCTGAAGCGGATAACCGGCAGGGAACGACCGACCTGACTGCTGTAGAACCCTCACTTGAGGGGGCGAGCTCTCCCGTGCCGTACCGTTGCCGGGCGGCAGCTGGGAATTTTGCTCGTTGGAGCTCACTGAGCCCTGAAGCACCGAGGGTGGCAGGGTTATCAGTGACTCTCCGTGAGGGCACTGAGGAGGATCGGGCACTGTATACTGAGGTGTTATCCTTTCCTCCCCAGGTGGGGCTGCCCTCAGGGGCCTGACGATGTTGGCATCAGGACCGCTTAGTCGAGGTCCTCTTCGACAAAATAACGGTCCGCAGATCCGTCTTTGGTCTAGAAGACCCCGACTGAGAGCGTCGCCCCCACCCCCATTCTTTTTGCGGAGGGGTGCGGGTTGCAATGCTCTGTTTTTGTGACTGGCTGTATGAGGAGCTTGACGGCTGCCCCATGGGCCTGGGAGCGACGAGGGAGGAACCGTTGAAACGCCACCGCTTGCTTTCTTGCCTCCTGAAACCTCTCGACGACAGTGTTAACTGCGTCGCCGAAAGGGCCAGAGGGCGAAAGCGGGGCATCTAGGAGGAAGAATCTGTCCTTATCTTGCATATCGGACAGATTCAACAACAGATGCCACTCTGTGGCCACCATTGCTGCCATTGAACGGCCGATAGCTCTGGCCGTTTTTTGGTGGCTCGGAGGGACAAATGTGTGGCCCGACGCAGTTCAGCTACCAGGTCCTTGAGCAGGTCAGCCTGGTATGCTTGTAACACCGCCATGGTGTGCAAGCATGCGCCAGCCTGACCTGCTGCCGTATAAGCTTTCCCAACCAGACTAGATGTAAGCTTAACAGGCCTGGTGGGAAGCTTCGGGGCCTTCAGGGACGATGCCGAGGATGGGGAGAGATAGCTCGCGAGCGTCTGCTCCACCATTGGCATCGCCCCATATCCCTTCTCATTCAGCCCCACGATATTGGAATAATTTGAGACTGTGGGGCTATAGATACGGGAAGAATATTATCTCGACGCAGCTCGAGTTCCTGAAGGGGAACCATGGTTACATACGTAATCTGAGACGTTTTCTTTGACATTTGTAATTAATTTGTTCTTCACTTAACTCATAAGGTTAACTTCACTTTACTCATAAGAATTTCCACCACTGCAATGAGAGCTCTTTAAAACTTCCTGTCAAGAACATGCATTTTTATAAAAGCAAGAAATGTATGTGAAAAATAATGAAGACAACGAACATGTCATTTAAAATTTTTCCTAAACATCTTCTACATGAACACTTTTAAATATTACAACTCAGACAAGGCCAAAGCCATACCTTGTGGATGAAACTGCGCTCTCATGGCTTGTGTAAATGCAAGAAAGGTTCTGCATCTTGAAGGAAGTTTCAGTGTCGTGAGGCAGGTTGAAGCCACTGGCAGTGATAAGTCAGGTGATACTTCGACACGCAGGTGTTTAGGGAGAACAGCCCAGCCAGTTCAAAACTTCAGCAACTCGCACAGTTCAGCAGGTGATCCTGCATCAGTTTGGGCATAACAATATTTGCATAATTCCTACACATGCAATCATCTGCAACCAAACATCAAACGCACATTAAACGTTTTTTGTTTTTAAAATAAACATTTACAATAGCATATTTTACCTGTTTGAATATATTCATGCAAGAAAGCCGTAACATCACAAGATTGCTCCAGGTTCAAAGGGCCTTCATCTTCATCACTGTCCGGTTCTGGCCAGCTGACTCTCCTAAGTATAATCTAATAGAAAGATAGCAGCACTGAATACAAGCCTTAATATAGGGTTGTAACAATGCAATTCATCTACTGACCTAGTATTTTATTACAAACAACCCCCCTACTGGGCTATATGATTTGATTTTTTTTTTTATATGTACTGTATTACAGAAAATTAAATGATTGATTTAGTGCAATGGCTTCCATACGGTATATTCTTCTAAGCAGAATAGACCAATTACCTCTGGTTCCATCAGCAGTGCAGAAGATCTGGGAAACAGTACTGCAGTTAAACTGGGTCGTTCTTTTATCATTCTCAAAACACCTGTATCTTTGAGTCCTCTCCGCAGCTGAGAGATCTGCTTTTCACGTCAACCAATAACCTAGAAATGATCCACAAACAATACAAATTATTAACGCTATGCAAGTCATGATGAAAGATTGAAGCTTTTGTCCTAACTTAATGTCACGGCTCGGTTCAGGAAACACACCGTGTAAACAAGGGTCTGGGTCCAAGTGCAGGTCTTTATTAACTGCAGGGGTAAACAAAGGTAAAAACAGAAACACAAACAGATCTAAGAATCTGAAAACAGGCTCAGAACACAAACAGGGATATGACACAAAATCGGCAACTTAGTGCTTGCATCAGTCCAGGTAACAACAATTAATAATCCGCCCAGAGTGGCATGGGGAAGGCGCATAAATAGCCCTCAGGATGGGCCACAGCTGTGTGTGAGTGAGTGTGTGCACAGGTGTGTGGAGTCAAGGTAACGGAAACGGAGTCCGGGAGGATGGGAAATGGCGACCTCTGGTGGTGAGAGGGAGAACACCAGACGCCAGACCCTGACACTTAATGGTTATGTGAAGAGGCTTATGTAGAGTTTGAAAAAGTTAACGTACATACCCCACTGCAATTAACACATACTTCCACCTTTATATGATAATATATACATACCCCATGGTGGAGAATGGTTTCTGCCAACCACCTTCTGTTGCTGACTGCTGGCAAGTCCCTGTTGATGACCAGGTTGTTGATTATTATCTATTTCGTTCTGATTCAGTTCATTCTGGCTTTCCAGCTAAAAGGTAAGACTTGAAAGGGTTAAAATGTATACTCTCTCTCTCTCTCTCTATATATATATACACACACATATATATATATATATATATATATATATATATACAGTATATATACATATAAGGGACACAACTTCAATCACATCTGTATCAGGACAGTCCTTCAATTCCAAAACTGGAGTATCATCCTTACTGCCACTTAAAAGGGGGAAGAAAACTAAGTCCTAAGTAGAGTGGACATTCATTAATAAATATATGTCCAATCATTCTTCCCACAACTCTGAACAGATCACCATCCAAGAGTGCTCTGGATGTTGAAGGAACCTTATGATCATCTTCGCCATTGAAGAGCAGCGTTTTGCCACAGTTATCTGAAAAATTCATAACAAGTAAAATGCACTCAGATGAGCATACTTAATCATCCCTTCCTATATTAACTAATAATAATAATAATAATAATAATAAATTTTATTTGTAATGTGCCTTTCTTAATACTCAAAGCGCTACAACGTGTACAAACAAAATAACAAGTCAACCAAAACTACAAATATAAAAAATAAAATCATAGTAATAGTCATAAATTAAAAGCTTCAGTAAAAAGGTACGTCTTAAGAAGTTTCTTAAAACAATCCAAGGAAGCAGCATTCCTAATAAACACAGGTAATGCATTCCATAACTTAGGCGCGTTATAGGAAAAAGCCCTTCCCCCCCATGGTTTTTAATTTACAAGAGGCTGATACAAGGAAAAACAACCAGCAGAGCGGAGAGAGCGAGAAGGTGTGGAAAGAGTTGTTTTTATTTTTTATTCAAGGAACAATAACACACAATATGTTATCAAGAAAACAACATTAAAATAAGAAAAGAAAAAGATAGAAGGACAAATTACAACAAACAAAAAACAGTTGCCAGGGGGAGGAAAGTATAAAACTTCAAAACAAAAATACAAGATATACATACATACATACACTTGTACGTATATATAAAATCAAATAAATATATTGTAAAGTTCACAAACTTTCAAAGTTCTTACAGCTTTCTTATTCACAGAGTCTCTGATACTGTCAATATATATAAATATTTCAAAACCATAAAATTGTTTTTTTTTATTGGTAAATTTACACTTATGAATGTGAAATTTGGTCAATAGAATAAGTAAATTAATTAAGTAAAAGTACTGTTCCTCTTGGTCAGGATAGTCAGTAAAGCCAAAGAGTACATTTTCCCATAGGAGTGAAGAAGGTCTTAAACTTAAACCAAGTATGTACAATACCAAAATAAGTGCAAGGCAGTTTCCTCATACTCATTTAAAAAAATACAATTTACATTTATTCCTTTTTACTTTCAAAGTTCTTACAGCTTTCTTATTCACAGAGTCTCTGATACTGTCAATATATATAAATATTTCAAAACCATAAAATTGTTTTTTTTTATTGGTAAATTTATCTGCCATATGTACATTAACTGACAGTCACCACTGATAAGCTACCACTAAATATTGTAGAAACTTAATTTGCTGTAAAGTTGCTTTGCAACGATTTGTATCGTGAAAAGCGCTATACAAATAAACTTGAATTGAATTGAATTAAAATCAGCATCACCATTTTGTTTTTGTATCTCCGCTCTAAATCCGCTTGCCTTTAGCTTTCAACGTAACTCAGATGTATACCATAGAGATGATCTCTTGAAAGAAACAACACGCTTTTTCAGAGGGGCAACCTCATCCAGAATAGATGCAAAAGCAGCATTATATTGGTCAACCGAGGCCACAACCGGTAAGTCACCAATAGTCAAGTCAAGTCAAGTCAAGTCACCTTTATTTATATAGCGCTTTTAACAATACAGATTGTGTCAAAGCAACTGAACAGCATTAATTAGGAAAATAGTGTGTCAATAATGCAAAATGACAATAGTAAACACAATTTTTTCAGTTAAAGGCAGTTCATCATTGAATTCAGTGATGTCATAATCCAGCACTTGTGATCGATATGATACCTCTTCATTCACTGCTACGAATTGATGGCGGTCAGATAAGTACGATTTGAACCATACTAACCAATAGTAAGACTAAGATGGTCAAGATCAATATCACAAATTTTCCTAAAACAGATAACACGCTCTTTTACAGTCTGCAAGGACGGAGGAATCAAATTGAATGTGAGGAGCTTGTGGTCACTTATACAAACATCAGTACATTCAAGTTGTTCAAGGATTACTCCTGAAGTGCAAACCAGATCTAATGTGTGACCGTGTTTATGCGTTGGAAAGTTAACATGCTGAGTGAGATTAAAACATTCTAGAATGTCCATAAAGCTCACCGTATTAGCGCAATCCACGTTATCAACATGAATGTTTAAATCACCATTTAAAAGAACAACTGGACAGATTGCACTGGCAAGCGTCAGAAACTCAGTAAATTATGAGAAAAACACAGTTAGGTTTGGGAGGACAATAAATATTTAACACCAAAACTGGTGAGAGACCATTCAGTTTAAATGGCAAGCATTCAAATGATGAAAAACAAGGTAATGAAACTTCAGTTAAAACAACATCAGATCAATAAATGACAGCAAAACCACCACCTCTACCAGTGGAACGCGGCCGAGTGTAGCCAGGCAGAACACACATATTTAGATTCAAATAGTCATTTGTCTGATTCCACGTTTCACAGAGGCAGAAAAAGTCCAGTTCTTTGTTCACAACAATGTCACAGATTGAAGCCACTTTGTTGTTTATAGAGCGAGCATTCAGATGTGCAAACCTGATTGTGTCAAGACGGACACCTCCACTGGATGCAGTAGACTTCTGAAGGTAGGAAAAGTTTGCAGGACAAACACATAGATGACGACGATCCAAGCGCCTCTGCGTCCAAACTGAGTTTATTCCGGCACTGCTTACTTGCAAATTCTGGCGGGAGCCTCGATGAACGTATTTTGGCCGGCGGAGGAGATGTAGCGAGCGCAGTGTATCCAGGACACATGTAGCAGGAGACGTAGAATGTTCATACTGAAAAAGTTCCGAAACAGAGTATTGTCGCATGATGAAGTCTGGGTGATCAAAGTAAATCTTGCCGTAAACTCCAAATAAAACCAGAATAAAAGCAAGTAAAATCCAGGAAGGCCGCATATTAGCAGCAGGTAAATGCCAAAAGACGAATAGGAAAAAATCCAAGCGTCAAGAGGCAGCAAAAGTCACCACTCGAGAGACATCAGCCGATCCAACATCAAAACAAAAAACATATTAAAACAAAAAACAATAAATTTTAACGCACTGATGGAGAAGCAGCAACCACATTGTGCCAGCGTCCTCTCACAACAGAAGTCAAAATGCTCAGAGCTAACTATGCTCATAACTATTAAATGTACTAAAAAAAAGCTAAAATGTATTACATCCTGTATGTCTGTATTTCTAACAGTGACTAAAGTGGAGGTCAAGGAAATGGTATGTCCAAGGTCTGTACAGCATTTCAAAATGTTTTCAATTATAACTCACCAATGTCAAGTTCAAATCCATGGTGGAGCTTTTCCATTATCAATGTGGAAAAGTGCCGTTTTACTCAATCCCCTAATGCAGCATCTCCTGTTTTTAATAGAGATTACATACAATTTAATAATCCTCAAATTATTAATGAAAACAAGCAGAGCTACATTGCACCAATAAATACATTAAGTTTTACAGTTAATGGACTTGTCCAATCAACATTTGGATGTTTATAAAAAGCTAACATTTCTCGTTCACGGTATTTTTCACAGCTGTGCAGATCTAGTGTAACAACTAGGTCTGGTTTGTCATCTGTATTCTTTAAGATCTGTCTACGATACATCGGGACAGCTGATTCAAGATCCGGTTCAATCTTCCTCTCTATGAAAACACAGATTAGTGATAACAATTCTTCAAAAAGATATGATTAACTGTGATATAATTAACATCCCTGATAGGTGTCCTGTTGTTTTATAGTATGATAAAAATTATTTGTATGCTAAAAAAGCTAATACAGAGAAAGGCATACTCAATTCGATAGAGACACCTTCAGCTGATGGGCTGGTGCTGGATGAGAAAAGAGTATTGAGTGATGCTGAGGCCCTTTCCTCCCTTTCAGCATTATCCTCTGACATGGTTGCTGCCATTTCTTCCTGTCTTGTACTGCCAGTGCTATCTGATATCACTTTGCCTGACTCATGAAACCTGATATGAC